TGTCGTAAACTTTCAAAAAAGGTTTTGAAGGGCGCACGCTTTATTCGGGTAAAATTTTGATACTGAAGATAATTCTAGGCAATATCCGAAATAATCAAAGTATCGTCCTGATTTTAACCAATTTCTTGAAGCAGAAATGCAAAACGCGTTAATAACAATCTATGTTGCTGTTTTATCTTTGTCTGTACAGTCAGATATTCCAATGACCTCTAAAATATGCCAAAATAGTACGTCTTTTATTTTCTTTGAACAGGGTTTGAATGACTTCAATGGTTTTATAAAAAGAAATCAGTTTTGATTTTTGACTGAAGGGGTTTCCTAAAAAAAAAAAAATTTAAGTTTCCGCACTTGCAAAAGCTATATATTGGATCAAAAAATTTAATGTTTCGAAATGTATTTCAAAACGTAGGAGAAGTTAAGTCTCAAATTAAGAGTGATTTTTACCTATCTCTATTCAAGATTTTTTTCGCAATGTTATTAAACAGGTCACGAACGAAAGCATCACACAATTGTAGTTAATACGCAGTTTTTTTTTGTATACCAAAACTTAATAGAACTTTGAAATGAACAATATTTTCTTGCACTCCAGCGACTGACGTAAACAAACCGATTGCATATTGAGTTCTTAGGTTTTCGCGATTGCTACACATAGGAAATGAGTCTATTTTTCCGGATTTAAATCGCGTATATATTTTTTTTAAACAAACCGACGTTTCGGGCCCTCTTTACAGGTCAACCGTGACCATGGGACCTGTAAAGGGCCCGAAACGTCGGTTTGTTTGAAAAAACAAATATACGCGATTTAAATCCCGAAAAATAGTTTCATTTCCGATTGCATATTGTGACATTGATAGACTACTTTGTCAATTAGTAACCTAATAAATACTTACTCTTAAAAAAGATATTGCAGTACCGGAGGCACTAGGTAAGTCATACGTTTAATTGTGTGCTTATTTTTAAACACTACCACTGATGTATAAAATATTTTCGTCCCCCTAAATCGCCATTTTTGTTCACTGTGCGTCACGCCCACGCCCATCTCGACACAGGCGGCGCGCCGGTGCGCGATGTCACTGTTTTTGTTCATTTGATTTACACGCACCCGCGCCGATCTGAATAAGGCCTGGTTACATAGAAGCTATCAATTTAAAAATAATTGCAATGTTCACTCATATCAAAAAGATGGTTACTTCATTAACGCTCTCTCTTTAGAATATCATAGAATGGAAATAGTTCATGGCAAACATTGTTTTTAAATTTAAATATTGAGAATTTTATTATTAGTAGATTTAAGCTTAGGCCACACAGAGGCGGTACAGCGGGAAAGGCGCACACTGAGGCCCGCCCATATAAAGTAATGCTGAAAACTAAATTTTCAAAATGTGGATATTTGAAAATATAATTAGCATAGTCGTAATAAAGTATCACATCACGCGTAAAAATACTGAGTCGCTGACTACTGTCAGTTGTTAAGTGCATCAGTTTAAAGTTTGCTCGTTACGCTAAATATTTATTCAGTAACGTACGTGAGTTTATGGGCAATCTTTAGACACTTTATTTCTTAAGTTTGATATTAAAATCTACCTAGCAAGGTATGTTGACTCTCCTAACATTTCTATTATTTTGTAAGTTTATCGGTATCTGATATACGGCTAATAACTTTGTAGTAAGTAAACTCGTAAGTGTTACGCTAGTAGAGAGCAAACTTTGAGCTGATGCACTTCACAACTGACAGTCAGCGACTGAGTATTTTTTCGCGTGATGTGATACTTTATTACGCTAGTATAATGTATATTTTTAAATACTAACACTTTGAAATTGGTGTTTTGAGCACTACCTTGTATGGATTCGCCCCAGTGTGAAGCGGTCCGAGGGCGGACCCTGCAGTATATTAATGCGTACCCGGGCGTGCCGCACAGCAGTCCCTAGAGTAGTTCGCGGCGGAATAGCCGCCCGAAGGCGGCCAGTTTGCCACCAATAGCGGCCACATTTCATTTCCAACACAGGTCTTAAAGAATAAACCATATCACTTTTCTCATAAAACCATATCACATGTTTTGAGCATTACCCGTAATGCTCAAGACATTTTTCTGTTTTAATTGGCGTTACGTTACGTGATGCTTTCACAAAAAGAAATTAGTCGTATTCGTATTGGAACTTAGTAGAACCACACTCGAGAGGTGTAAAAAAAAACCAACGTCAAAACCCGGCAAAGCCCCGCTCCCGGACTGCGCCCGCAGCTACCGCTCTGTGTGGACGTTTGCATAGAACTCAATGTAATACGACTGAGTGTGAGTCGAGTGAGAGCCGCACCCGCCCCGCATTCGCCCCGGATCGGCTCCACAACCGGGCAGCCTGATTGTTATAGAGCGTTCGGCCCCGCACCGACTCGCGCGGCCGCCGTGCAAACGCACGGCTATTCGAGCACGGATTCGAGCACCTCCTACCTATCTCTAATAGCCTCAGTGATAGAAGACTTTGAAATTTGTATGGCGGCCATCTTGTTTATTTGAATGTCTAACATTTTTTACTTCCAGCGGAAATTGACCAGTACCTCATAAAAGTGCACAAATATCCCCCCATGTATTACAGTTTTTGCAGGCCGTTGATCACTCGTTTACACTTTTCCACATTCAGGCCTTCTGATATTTGATTATTTGTTTTGGAGCCTATACGCGTACAACGTTATAAATTTTTTTTTGAAGTATGCGGTCTATTTCTATCAGTTGTAGCTTTATATATGTAATAACTAGATAGCGCGCGTTGCGCCGGACCGCTAAAGAGGCCCGCGAGGGCTTTCTTTGAGACTTATGTGACAGGTTGGGAGTTTGACTTCATATTTCAGTAGAGGATCCCCTTTGGTTGAGTTTGGATGGGAGGGAGCAGGGTTATTGACTGCTCCAGTTTAGTTGCATGTAGAGGTAGTTGGTATCTCGCGAAGTTGTATCCTTAAATGTCTCAGAACAAACCAGTCGTATATCATTGACAGCTACGAAGATTCAGAATAGTCAATTTCGTATGGCGGCCATCTTAAATTCGTTATATCAGAACACTTTCGGTTCTGGTAGAACCTGACCAAGATACTTGACAACTTTTATTTGAGAGCCATGTGCCCATCTCCGATACTTTAGCGAACAACCTCTGTCCCACCCGATACGGAGCACTATTGCAAGATATCCGAATTTTCTCGTACTCACTGAACCCTTCCGGACACTATTCCTGTAAATCATTTTAAATGATTCTCTGTTCCTTCTGGGAGAAGTATTACCTAAATGTCAGTGGTAATCGTGCTACTTACATAATTATAGTATGTTGCACGTTGCGCTAGGCCGCTAAAGCAGCCCGCGAAGACTGTGTGTTATACTTATAACTGTTTGCTAGTTGCAGTTTCTATCTGGGGTGTGAGAGACCAGAGTAATTGGTATGATCGCGTCAAGCAATTCTTAAATTTCTCAGAGACCTCATCTTCTGTATATAATTGATAGCTGCAGAGATACAGCAAACCCAGGTTTTGTATAGCAGCCATCTTAGATTCGCCATATAGGATTTTTTTTACTACCGATAGAACCTGACCAAGGTCTTTGACAATTTTTATTTGAAGGCCATGTACCCATTTCTGGCGCTTTGATCGAGTAGCTTCTGTCCTACTTGATGCGTAGCAATATTACAAGATTTTTTTTCGATCATTATTCCCGTTGCTCATTTTAAACGATCTCTATTCCTTTAGGAAGAACAATTACCTAAATATCTACATCAGTCAGTAGTAATCGGGCTACCCACGTATAGTATGTTGTGCGTTGCGCTGGGCAGGCTTGTTACAGTTTGCTGCTTGTAGTGTTTGTTTCAGAAATATATGTTTGTTAAATTTATTTGGCTGTGATAGTCACGTAGTTGGTATGATCGCGTCAAGTCGTATCCTTAAATGCTTCAGAAGAAACTACTCATATATCATCAATAATTGCGAAGATTCAGTAGTAATTTTTTATGGCGGCCATCTTGGATTCGCCATGTTGGAAAATTTTTAGTTCCGGTAGAACCTGATCAGGGTCCTTGACAATTTTTGTTTGAAACCCACTTTCCGAAGATTACGGTACCTTTTGATACTCCCCAAGCCCATTAGACCGTTATTTCCCTACATCGTTTTTACCCTCTTTTTTTACCTTCTGGGAGAAAAATGACGCCATAAGGCAAAAAATTCACATGTATGGCGGCCATCTTGAAAAATGGCGGAATCAAAATTTCAATCGCATATTCGTATTGTGGGCCCCCATTTTGAGTCGGCCATCTTGAAAAAATTTTGTCACTGGCAGTTGGCCCCCGCCGCCCTCTATATATATACATTTGGTCGAGCACTCCCCGCCCATCTCCAATACTTGCCGAGCTATAAGAAACTGCCCAAGATGGCGGTCAATTTTAGTTCCACGACCCTTCCGGTAGGTATTATACTTTGGCCGCGCAACTGGGTATCTACCGGATGCGGTCCACTTTTCGAAGGTTTCGGATTTTTCTGGCACTCACCGGACCCATCCGACCACTCCCGTAGATTATTTTTACCCACCGCGACTCTCTCTGGGAACAATTATCTAAATGACTACATCTGTCAGTCAGTCAGTCAATCAGTGATTCAGTCAGTCATTCAGTCAGTCAGTCAGTCAGTCGGTCAGTCACTCAGTCAGTCAGTAATCGAGCTTTATAGAGTATAATAATGGTATTAGTATACCTTAATGCCTAATAGTTGTAATAGTAGTAGCTCCAATTAAGTGATTGGCCGTCAGACAGCGCCTGGAGAATTATGACGAGACCTTCCAATAATAGTTACGAAAAGGAAAGTTAGACCCCGTCGCGACATCTGGTTTTCTTTTGATAGTCCATACCAACCATTTATTTTATTTGTAATTCACGTTTGGTTTTCATTATAAAAGTAAATAAGTTTATATTTATTAACTGATACTACTCCTTGATAAATACTTTAAGATTGATATCACTTGTGATTGTTACAGAAAATCGGTCGGGAGTGCCAGTCGTACCCTTATACGTGTATTGAAGCCAAGAAGCCGCAGAACAAGCAGCTGAATCGTTACCGCGATGTTAACCCCTATGATCGCAGCCGCATTGTCCTGGAGCGAGGGGACTGTGACTACATTAACGCGAACCTTGTTAAGGTAAGTCGAGATTTATGTTTCAGTCACTGTTCTTCGGGAATTTAACATATTGAAGAAAAGGTACATTGTTATTAGAGTAGGCAATAGAGGATTAATTAAATTTGGATTGCTTACACGATACCAGCGGCGATGACTCCATAAAACACGATACCCATCAGCTTGCTTTAGTAAATTGGTTAATCGAGGTGTATATACAGGCTGTCTATTAACTCGACATCGAGCCGGGACGGGCATGTCAAGAAGGTCATGGCCTACAAAAAAGCCCATGGTACTATGGTAATATTTTTACTGAACTCAAACATAATTGTCTTTTTGTATCCATGTTTTTCTTTTTATTATCTTAAATAAATCTGCTTTTTAATGACTTAAATTTTAAATTAAATTCCTCACTAAAGGTTATTTTAAAAATATCAAGAAGTATGAAAAAAGATACCAATTTTTGCTTATAATTGTTGTTTATGTAAATATGAAAATGTATGACACCGCATCTGCACTTTCGTCCTGTTGCCTTCGTACAGCTACACCGAAGTGCATAGGAGCAACATCGTGCTGGTAGACTAACTGTTCTTCTGGTTCTTCATCTCCTAGTGCTCCTAGTTCATGGTGGTAGTCCAAATGACGCAAGTACACTGCAGCAGTTACTTTGGAAGGCAGTTCGTGTGGGCCAATCAGTCGAGAAGCTGTGAAGCCGGCCAAATTTACGCTAAATTCTTCTTGGACATAAGTTCCGATTCAACCACACAAATTGGTTTACTGAATCACGTCACAATTACAGTTTAAGAGATAAATCCGCGCAGGTACACACAATGGTCAGTCGGGTGACCACGCGCGGGAACTGCAGCTAGATCGGACCAGTTTGCTGTGATTGGAGAGCGAGGGAGAGGCTCCGTACAGTACCCACAGGTACTGTACGCGCATGCGCAACTGGTCCGGCCTACTACCTACGTTTGTTGCGAAATGAAGCAAATCTTAATGGTCGATCGGACCGGCTTGGTGCCGGACCTGAAGGTTCCAACAATTTTTAAAATAAGTATGTGATGCGCGAATTTTGAATACATTCGAAACGATATAAGATGGATGAATTTTGTTCTCATCTCATCACACCATCTCAGACATTGAAATCATAAAAAAATAGGTTTTTAAAAATTTTGTCAAATATCCTGTTTATTGCTGTAATGTCGCCCAGTTCGATGAAATTTTAAATAAAACTATAACCATAGTAGATATGTACGTTTTTTTTAGTAATTAGATGAATAAGTAGACAAGTTTTTACAATCAAGTGCAGATGCGGTGTCATACATTTTCAATTTTATTAACACACCCATTCAAGTAAATAAAAATAATTTCGTTTTTCATACTTTTTGATATTTTAAAAATAATTTTAAGTCAGGAATTTCATTTAATACTTAGCTCATTAAAAAGCAGGTTGATTTAAGATAATAAAAAGAAAAAGGAAGATTAGAAAAAGACAATTGTATATAAGTACAGTCGCGTCCAAAGGCGTAAAAACGTAAAAATTTTAATGTGTATAAAATCTTTAATTAAAAAAATCAGTAGGAATATTACTTATTTTTTTGGATGGATGGCTTTTTTGGATGTAGGCCATCGACATCCCCGTCCCGTCTTGACGTCGACTTAATAGACATCAGTTTACGTGTAATGAGCTATTCGCTATGCGTTCTTTCCTATTTAATTTTTGACAACTCGAATTCTAATCAATTTGTGGAGTCGTACTGCGTTTCCGATTCGATTTTGTTATAACAATCGATTTTATTTATGAAGTAGTTTAAATCGTGAATGTGAGTGGGTTCAAAAAAAAAAGATAATGTCTGATTGGGATCGTGATGTTGCGTTTGACAATTTGTGTACTCAAGAATTAATAATTAATGTTATTGAGGATTGAAGTGATGATTTCCGTTCATATGGAGAAGAATCTGACGATTTGTTATAATAAACATTAAAAATTTATTATAATTATTTATAATTTCTTTAATTTCATTATAATTTATTAGACAGGTACCAAAATTAATCAACTTGAATAATTGTTGTTACATAATCTGTTGGCTCGAGCAATATCAAAGCTAAAGAGCCCGTCGCTTCACTAAAACGAAAAAATAAAAGAGACCAGGAATTATTGAATTTTTCGTCTATGGTTGTATATCAATAATTACGGAACTTCGGAGGCATGCATATGTCAAAAGTTAAATACATGGTTTGACGGAGTATAATTACATTTCGACTGAAAATTGGCCCTTTTACGTTGTAACTGCATAGAGAGGAATAAAATATTTGTATTGTAAGGTGTAATATTTTTTGTTTATTGTTATTTTTTTTTATTGTTTTATATTGATAATATTTACCTTAAAATTGATTGTACACGATCACATTTATTTTTGTGAAGTTACTCCACTAGTTTGTATATATAATTATCAATTTTTCTTTGTGTTCAATCTTTGTATTAATATTTATAATATTTACCTTATTATCCGGCGGGAATGTAACTTCTATCTGTGATATTAATTTAATAAGCCCATGGCGGTTGGTAGCTGTGATGGCCGGCTAGATAGCGCGATGAATGATCCATTTTAGAAAGGTAATTGTGAATTCATCGAGGCGGAAATCGAACAAAATTGATTTTGTAATGAGCTCTCGTAAGAAAATTCATTAAAATAGTTGTAGTTTTTATTAATTTATTGTTTTTAAAATTAGTAACACGAATTATACCTCAACAACAATGAATATTTGTTATCTGACCAATGAGGGTGGACATTCTGAATAAATTTTTATTTCTTAACTAATTTCACTATTTTAAATAATGGTGGACGGAATCTGTGGAAGGGTCGAATCAGACGGCAAGACTGGGCACTTGGTTGCTAATAGCTGTGGTGCCGGCTTTCCGAGATTGCGATAGTCAAAGTAAGAGGTTACGATTTCATATACGTATATTAGAGGCGGGCTTCATCTAGCTTTCAATTGGAAGGGACTCTGGGGTATTCATTGTCTCTATTATTTGCACCTTCATATTTACAATTGACTTTTTTTTCAAAATTTATTTTGGAAATCAGAAATATGAATTCAACTCACTATTAATAGTTTAATAACGTTCATAAGTAGTGTTATTTACTTGTATTACTGAACTGTTCCGCATTATTTTATATGGTCTGTATTTTTCACGTAACTACAGTATCGATCAGTTACAATGTCCACTTCATAGTTATGTCATACAAATTTGTCATCAATACAAACGTCAAGCCAGTTTAAACACCTACTATGACGAGTATAAACGTCATTATAAATTAATAATTATATCCCCGACAATTTCGTATACTATGAGTACCAGAGTAACGAAAATAACTTCAGTGGCAATACCCGGAATACTCAGACTAGAGCTAATTTAGAAAAGCTGGTTTCCTAAACTGATATTTCCTGCAAGCTTCATAGCTATAACCGCTTGTCCGTCGATATGGTTGTTAGAATTTTACTTTTGCATTAAAAGAACCTAATATTGAATTTCCTGTCAGAGATACGAATATCAGAGAACTTATGAACTACTACTGCTTTTTGAAGGTTTTATTCACAGACATATATCTATATAGACGCCGCAAGTGTACGTACTTCGCGTGCCCAAAGTAAGTGAAGTTCACTTACTTGCCGCTGCACACACACTTCAGAACGCGCTCGGCCGTTACCGTAGATAAACACCAGTCGAAAACGCGAAAAATGCATAATTGTGCCATTATAAACTGCAAAAGCACCTTAACTGTGGGTAAACGGGTAAACAGGGACGTTTCCTTCCATGGACAAGTGATTTTATAATCAGAAGATTATTTTGGTTTTGCATTAATTTCGAGGAAACAAATATGCAACCCAGTGTATGCCTCATGATTTGTATATTTATACAAACAATAGATATTTGTGATCCTTTGTTAATACGCCATGAATGTCGACCGAACGCACTTTTGCATAATGCATTCAGTTTCTGTGGTACGAGCGCTTGTACATTTTTTGGGCAAAATTTAACATTATTCGTTAGGCAACACTGTTCTCGATTCTGATCGATTTTGAAAACAAAGGGACGAAATTTATTATGACCTTAGCAATATTATAAAAATATTCTATAATACGTTTGTTATAACGTTTAGTAACGTTTCGATTTTTTTTTTTAGTTTTGTAGTATATATTATCAGTAGTATCTGTAATTTCGATAATTTTTGCAGCACGTTGCCTCGAATGTCCGAATATAGTGAGACAATAATTAAATAATAATAAATAAATAAATAACGCACACACTCAACATAGCCCCGCACTAGGGAAACCCTGTGTCGCGGGTGCCATGGACACACATATAGACAACCACAAATTACACCCAAACTCACGAGAGAAATAATTGTAGGCCATACAACTATTTCTCCCGGCCCGGGAATCGAACCTGGGACCTCTGCGTGGCAGTCCGGCATGGTAACCGTTCGGCCACGGAGGCAGTTAAAATAATTACATATTAATTATTACTATTATTTAATTATTACGAATAATACAAAAAAATATATAATGCAAAGAATTAACAGTGCGCTGTCTTTATAAAAACCTGGAGTTGGTCATACGTATGAGATCGTTGCTTTCGAGGACGAAGGTGGTCTAGTTTATAAAAAATTTTAAATTTTAAATTTTGTCAGCAGTAACATTTTCATTTGTCTTGCCATTCATCAATTTGATCAATTACCAACAGAAAACCATCTAGTAAAATTAATTAAGACAGTCGCAAGTTCATATATTGAGGTGCGTTTTCATTATTTAAGTTGTTCGATAAGATCTTGTATTACAAAGACAGTTATATAATAAGCCTGATATTATTTCAAGGACAATAATTGTAATAATTGAAGTTGATTAAAAATTAAAGTTTAAATTTTTAAGTAATCAAAATTTTTTTTAAGCAACTCTTAATAACGGACATAACTATATTGTTTTGGTATTTTTCTACTATATTAATATTTCACGACTAC